GAAAGATTGCTTTGCTTTTCCTTTTTTACCCAAAACTCCAAATGCAGCCTTTCCCCCCTTGTCACATCCTCTCCCACCAGCCTCTTTATCCTGCTCAGATAGCTGGTTGCGCATGTGTGTGTGTGTGTGTGCGCGCGTTGCTCGTTGTGCACGGGGGGTGCAGCTGGAGCATCTGCAGTCGTCTCCTCTGGCATCGGCGCAGCATATGGCAGAGCCCAGTGAAGGATGAGTGCTGTCACCCGGCAAAGTGCTTACCCACCGACAGGAGAGGAGAGCCGCACCAACACCAGGAGGAAGAGGAGGAAGCAGCTGAACGTCAGCACCCCCTCCACCCTTTAATTCTCCCCCTGCCACCCTGCTCCTGAAAAGGGAGGCACTGGAGGAGCCTCAGAAGGGACGACCTCGGACCGGCGACGTTGTTGAAATGAATTTGAGTAAATTGCATGAAAGATTGGCTATTTGCAGAAAATCAACCAACCGGTGGAAGGAAGCACCGGCCCCCTTTTTCAGTTTACACGCCTGTGCTGATTTTCACATATGTATTCATCAGCCTTCTATGCGTCACAGAGGACTGCGGAAGCCTGGCTACCGTTCAGTGCATGTATATTTTCTGTTTATACACAAGCACTTAATCTGTAAGCACAGTTTTTGCCTGTTATTTTGGCTCCCCTTTTTGTCAGACAAATTGGACATCTAAGGTCTGAGGTTGAGTAATTTAGATCAATTTACATCACTAAAGCTCTAAACCTGTGTCAATACTCTGCTCATTTTCATCTCTTGGTGTGTGCTAAATAGTGTCTATTTAATTAAAAAAATAATAAAATCTCGAAATCCATATTTTCTTTCTTTCTGTAAAATGTATTTTGATGCCTCCTGTGATGATAAAAAAAAAGGATGCTGTATCCGTGAAATAAATACGCCGGGTAAAGAAAACAGAAAATTGAGTTTTCTTTGGCCTTGCAGTCACTCTGCGTTTGATTTCACATTCCGATTAACTCGGTAAACCAGGACTAAATTTAGTACTGATCCACCAAGACGACGTCTGCAAGTGAAGGACAGCTCCTAAGCAGTCATGTCAGAGTTCAGAAAAAAAGAAGATAATGCCCTGATCTTGATCACAAATATTTAAACTGGTCAAAAGCAGAATAAAAATGTAAAATTCTTCAGCATATCAAGAGAAATGGTCAACAATTGTCTACTTTTGTTTCATTTCAGTAATAAGACATTCTAATAAAGAAGGCCTAATTTCTAATGCGCTCTTTTAGTATCTGGAATCCTTTATCTTTACCACTACAATCTTCATTTTCAGTCCAGTAAATCTCATCAATTTACGCGTCTTTTTCAGGGGCAGCTAATTCTCGATCGTAAATAGTGACCTCACGAATATCCATCAGAATACATAATCCTCGTCTGCTGATATAATCCTGCTGAGAGGCGTGTGAGCCTCCCTGAAATGCACATGCAACAAGTGGAGAGGTGCACCCGGCAGACACCAGCGCCAAGCACCAAGGACGGGCATTCTGCTCCAGTCTGCCGGGTGCGTCGGATTGATGAAAACACATTTGTGTTTGGGGCAGAACGCGTTACATCGTTACTTATTTCAACCTGGAGAAACCTATCATCTAATTTAAGTCTAAATAGGGCCAAATATACTTCATCCCACAAGAGCTTGCAACTGCTATGGAGGAAACACAAAATGTGTTTCTTAAAAGATTTGAGGTGGGAAGTTGAGGTAGTGAGCCTCGACTCCTATTCGATGTGCAAGGCTTTATAGAAGTTGTTTAGCAGCGAGCTATTAATGGCACTGAGGCCGGCAACTGCAGCTAGACAGCTGGGGTGAGCCGGCGTGTTTTCACTCGGTGAATTATGGGTTCATCTCAATGAAAGCAGAGTGGTTGTTGGAAGTGGAAAGCGCTCACCGAGACAGTTTTTGAATTACAATTAGCAGGCTTACATAACTGCTTTTGAGAAGAGCAACATAAATTATAGTGGTTGTAACCTGTTAATCAATATGTTTGGAAACAGCCCCACATGTTTTTTAATCTGCGTGCGCCGTTTTGAGGAGCAAGATTCCTACAAGAAAGAAAGCACAGTACACATAATTTAAACGGAGATAAGCCAGCTGCAACAGTACAGATAAAACTGTCTGTCGCCCAGACAACAATGTCACGTTGATATAAACGGGTGTGTACATTCTACTCCTATTTCATTTCTATGGTCTTTAACAAGTACAGACCAATAGTTAATATAGTATAATGTGTCTGTTGGGTACAGAGAGTATCAAGGTGTTTCCTCCATAGGTAACTGAGGAGGAGGAAGAGGAAGAGGAGGAGGAGACGGTCTCCTCTGAGAAAGAAGCCAGTAGTTCTCCGTCTCTATTTTTTCTACCTTGGGCAGACAAAAGGTGGACTGGTGTGTTTCAAGAACCAATTTAACATGACTGACAGGTAAGTTTCGCCGTGAACTTTTTCCTTCCCAAACAACCCTTTCTCTTCCCTTTCCGTCACTCAAAACTGACTTCCAGGGAAGCATCCGCCACCACCACTCAGCCTGCAGGCAAATCACATAAAACTCTCAGAGCGTCTGCGTCATCGATAGCATGAGCAGCTGTGGTTAGCGAGGACCTGACCTCAGAGCCAGGGGTGACCTGCGGTGCTCGACGGGGGAAAGGAGGATTCAACCTCTTTTGCCTCCGCGTCTCATTAGAGGAGGAACGAGGAAAGAAGGTGAAAACGTGTCTCATCAACACAACAAAAACATTTACACTCCCTGTAACTAAATCACTCATCGTTCAGGCGGTTGTTCATCCACCGGTTGGCTCGATGGCAGCGAGCCCGCCCTCTCGGAAGGCCTCTGCTTCCATCTCTTCTTACCAAGTCCTCTTCCCCTCCTCTTTTAACTCCCGCTGTCCCTCGTCTTTCTCCTCTGACAGCCAGCGCAGCACCTTTAATGGGGATCCGTCTACTCGTTAAATACCCACAGGTGTCTGCAGCACTTTGGCAGGGACGGAGACAAAAGAGGGAGACGAAAAGTGAGAGAACAGCGGCTGGTGTTCTTCGCTCCCTCTCCGATGTGACACATAGTCAGATTCGCCCGCGCTACATTGGAATTACTAATGCCTCCAGCGGCAGACGAACCGAGCAGAGAGACCAGGGGTCAGGAGGGGAGATCCGAAGCCAGTGTTCCTCTCCAGCAGTGATCTGGCCTCTCCTCTTAGCCTTTCCATCCTCTTTGACACTACAACACAAAGAGACGCTGGGAAAACGTAGACGGGGGAGAGGTGAAGGTAAGAAACTGCGATGCTCAAAGTAGGAGGCAGCCAGAGATGAAAGAAGAAAAGGGAAAAGAGGAGGAGGAGGAGGAGGAAGAGATTGGGCTTGAACGAGAGACACCATGGAGGGAGAAAAGAGGAAGTGGAGGGGATGAGGGAAAAGGGGGAGAGAGAGAGAGAGAGCTGGGCTCCCGGGCGTTGGGGTGCTCTCAGATGCGGGACTAGACCATCTGGACGAAATCGCAGCCAGGTCTCTGACGTTAAACACTGGGCTTCACTTTCGCATGGAAAAACCGGCAAAAAGAGATTCTTACCACCATGCCCCCAAAAACCTGAATCCCCGTGGCCAATGCGACCAGACCTCACTGTTGACAAGCTTATCCTTTACCGCAAATGTCCCAAAATCACAAACACACACACACAGAGCCAATTTACAATGTATTGATGTCAACATATCATATCACTATATATATATTATATAGTCAAAACTGCCATAGCACACGAGGGAACTTTTTAAACAATGCAAATTGTCGGCGCCTTTTTAATTTATCTACGTTCTGCCCTCATTGAATCTGTGTTTTATTAACGATTCTCATTTGCGTACGAAATGTGTTTCATGAATTAGGTTAGGCCTCTCCTGCTTGCTCATCAGCACTGTCGGCCAAGTACAACAGAGGGAGGAAGTGGCCAGTGGGACTAGAACCAGCAACCTCGCTTCCTCCCCTCCAGGAGAGTGAGGACTCTTCACAGTAACTTTATCCCACTCTCTCCCAGCTCCTTCTCTCCAGCAACTTAAAACACACACACACACACACACACACACACACACACAAGCTGTGTGCACAACGTACTCCTAAAAGACCCCCATCGCCCGTCCCACACGGCTCTGAAGCAGCACTGCCCCTCCCACCCCTCTGTCAATAAGCCCAGTTTGGAAACACTTTAAACAGACTTGAACATTGCTCTGCGAAAAAAGGGAAAAACTTCAAGACATGCTCTCCTCCATACCCGCAGGGTTAATTAGAATTGTTTTAAACAGCCACCGCCATGCTTTTTTAAACATTTATGAGTGCATGCATTACAACTGAGACATTAACATATCCAGAAAGTTTAACCTCTTCTTTGCTCCCTGGCTTCATTAAGAGCAGCAGAGGGGGTGACAGAGAGGACAGTTGACCTCTGCTGCCCCCTGTGTTACAGCTGAAAACAACAAGGGAGATTCCAGCGAGGAGCAGCGGCGGCAGCCGGCTTTGGATCTGAGGAATCGGAGCCAAGTCCTCGCGCCGGCTGAATGACAATCAGCTTGCATGTTGGTGACGAGAGAGAGAACCCAGAGGCTGTGCAGCACCAATACAAACGTGCACTATTCACTAACAGGGACAGACGACGGGCTGTAGAGTTGTGTAAAAAGATTAGTCAGAAAGGAACTACAGTCGGGATCCCCTCCGGTAAAGCAACAACACCACATTTAGACATTTAAACAAAATTCCTTATTTTAAGGTTCTAGTTTGGGGAATTACAACTAGTTCTACGAATGCAGTTTGGTTCTTTTTAAGTTAATAAAAGACGTCTATGTTTGCCCGCAAGGTTGAAATATGTACTGTAATTTTGATCCAGCAACATAATCAGGATTATCCTTTTATAATCGTGCTCCATGGATGTTTTGGGGAATGATTTTGAGACGTAAACACAAAGACAGGGGCAACAAATGATGCGAATTCATATGAACACAGTCAGCCGTCGCCTCCCAGAATGGTGTTAATTTGTCATCAGGCAGCAGACCGTCGTCCTCGTCCACTAGGAAGTCCCTCCTAATGAACTTTCTAAACCCCAGTCCTTCCCCTGGACAAAGCGGCACGCTCTCTGGAACAGACAACGCACACGGACAAACAAGATTATTTGGACAACCTGATCAAGCTCTGCTCGTGTGAATGAGTGTGCAAAAGACAAATTTGGTTATGAGTCACGGCCGTGAGCCGCGCGCAGAAACAATGGCGAAGGAGGCCGGGCGCAGGAAGCATTGCCTGCAGGGAGCTTTTAACACTTCAGAAGAAAACAGTCTCTCTCCCTCTCTCCCTCACTGTATCCTCCCGCCGCCACATAAAGACGAGTGGTAAACACGAGACGGAACTGCTGCGCCTCTTTAGCCAAGAAGTGAGAAATTGCAGGGATCAAAGCAGTCCAATTATCATGTGTTTATGGAGTGCCAATTATCTCAGACAGTGGCAGGAAGGATTCTGCAACACGCCGTTGCACTACAAAGACACAGGAAAGGTGCTGGAGTTGTGTGGGGGCGGTCACAGCTCTGCGCGGTCCCCTAACAGTCACAAATGCTCCCATACAAGGTCAAACCGTAATGACTGCGGACTACGACTGCCGCAGAGATCACAGCAAATTAACGATAATTGACGACAGAGAGGTAACAAGTAACGGGGGTGGATGTTGGAGGGATGTCACACCATTCTTTGGAGAAATTACATCACCCGCCATTTTGTTAATGAGTCGGAAAAAAAAAACCTTCCCCGGGCCCCGCGCGGGGATTTCAGAATGCTCTCAGGCGAGACATGCTTGAGACCGCTTCTGTGTTCCGGAGACATCTTTGTCCAATCCCATCAGGAGAGGCAGGTGATGACTTACGGCTGTATGTATTCGTTATTGTGAACCCTGTCCTACAAAAAGCTCAGGCGGCATCAAACAATGCAGGAAAAAAACACTAGAAACCAATTCATTCGTCAAGTATTTTCTTTCTTTGGTGGGTGTCGTCAGCACGGCGTACACATGATGCTAAAAGGCATCAGGCTAATTGGATTGTGTTGAGAAAGAGCAGAGCAGAAAGAGCACAATCCGAGAGTAAAGTCATTGAGAACAAACTAAAGATTTAATCATTGAAATTACTAGCAGAAGTTGCCTGAACTGAGAAAATGTAAAAGACATCATGTCACAAAATTTTTGAGCAATTAATTCAATATATTGATATGCAGGAAATATTGTATGAAATACCATCGGTGGATAAAATATTTCCACAACGGAATTTCATCTGAATGATTAGGCTATAATGTTTATTCATCATGTGGATATAATGACTAAGGTTTAATAATAGGTCTGATAAGTTCAGAAAATGACAGTACTACTGGTTTTCAGCATTTGAAAGAAGGAATAAACATGAATGCTATAACGATAATGTTCAATATCTAGTCCCATTTCACGTTATTGATCTAATTATTGCCCAGCTGTAACCACTTTAATGCAAATGTTATCATATCATTTAAGAATTTCGTGGGCCGTGCAAACAACATCCATGGACATTCTGCAGATTCAACTCATGCGTTAGTGTCAAATGATAAAACACTCTGACGGAAACCGAATATAGAGTCAGCACATACACCTCTCATGTTTATCTGCAGTGTGTGTGCAGACTAACATGTGTTTAGCCCCGGCTGTTAAAAAACCATTTGTCTTCAGGCTGCTCTTGTGCAGAGATCCCAACAGGAGATCTGCCGACAGATCACAGTGGGAAGCACTCAGACAAAGTGTCAATGCTGCTGTAAGATCCTGTGTCAAATCCTCTGTTTGGATCTGAGAGAGCAGGCAGCCTAAGAGGGGATTGGTGGGGGAGTGCAGTGCATATGCAGTTATTCCCACCACTGCTCATGCAAGCGGTCCTTCACTGTAATCCTCTGCCAGACTCAAAGACACTGACAGAAATCACCATAAACACACACACACACGCATAAGCACGCAAGCACAACAATCAAACAACAAATCCTTGCATTCGGCTTTCCCACAGCACTCCACTTTATTCTTTGTTCTGTCACAGGAAAAGTATCAAAAAAGACTTTTGTAGTCCAAAGATCTTTCAACCAAACCTGAACAGGTTTGAAAAGAGAGTGAAACCTTTGTGACCTCGCAACACTGTACTGCTTGAGGCCGACTGCAGACTTTCAGCCACACTTTTTAAGTCCTTTCGACATGTTTGATAAGACCAAGCATGAGAGACCCAGATGAAGTCCCAGGGCACCTCGTGAAGTCGTGTTATTCGGGTACGAAACAAGACGAGCAGTGATGAGCGAGGACCTCCCCAGTGGCAGAATCTGCAGCTGAACGCGGGCGTGAGGAGGGAGGTTTGCAGGAGGGTGAGACGCGAGGAAGACCAAGAGGAAGAGGTGTGGAGAGGTGAGAGGGAGTGTTAAAGAAACCCCCCCAGGCTAGAGGGAGGGAGGGAGGGGGGGGGGGGGGGGTGTGAGATCTTTGGTGTGTATCTGTGACAGAGCACAGATGACTGTGTGTGTGTGTGTGTGTGTGTGTGTGTGTGTGTGTGTGAGTGAGTGTGTGTGCGTGCATCCTGTGGGCCATCACTGGCAGAGAATCAACTGTAGGTCAGATGGCTGCTGCTCACTCTTTCAGCGAGTTGGCCGCGGTGACGGGGAGCACGCCCACTGCGCCAGAATACAAAATACCAAGCCGAGCTGGACATTGGTGGAGGGGGGGGTTCAGCACATCTGAGATATCAAATGGGACGAAGTTAACAAGTGCAGACGGGATGTTGCATTTAGTCTCACAGCACACTTAATATTTGTAATTGAATTTCTGTGAAAACACAACCTAGAAAGTGTAGGACACATGAGATGTTATAATACTCCTGCATCAAAGTGTCTCACCGTCCAAAGAAATGGTGAAGGTGATGGAGAAGGTGAAAAAGAGGGGGCCTGAGACAGAGAGGAGAAAGGGCGGGGGGGGGGGGGGGTAGCAACCCCGTCTCAGTGAGCGAGGGCATCCATATTCAGGCGGAGGGCTCAGGGGCACGGTTGGCACACAGAGCGAGAAGGTCGCCATGAAGACCGGCTGGCGTGTTGGAAAATACCAGGCGCCAGAGCAGCCAGGGTCAACATCTCTCGCCGTGTCTGTCACTCTCCTGGCCTTCTCTTTAACACGTTCAACTTTGGCACAAAAAAAAAACACCACCCTCCCCAAAATAAGCAACCACGCACGGGCGGATCGCGCTCACGACCATTTACCCCTCAGAGCACGTTGACGCGGCGAGGGCGATTTAAAAGCGTGATTACCTCCGTGCACCGATTCACACCGCATAAAGCAAACGGATACAAATGCAAACACGACGCACAATCTTGCCAAGAAGGAAAATCTCTCTTGGAGACGGAGCTTTGTAAACTAGTGTCGCCACAAACATGTTTATTGACATCCTTCCCACCAATTTCCGATACCACCTGATTACTTAAAGGCTGACCAATCGTTCCCCCCCCGCCCACACGGAACGCCTGATCGCTTCTATCAGTCACTGGGGGCAACAGACTCCGACAAGATCGCACGGGGGGCTTCAATTAACTGGACGAAAGAAGGGAATGAATAGGCGCACTGAATCTGCAGCTACGAAATATGAGAGCAGCACACAGCAACTCGCACATAAGCTCGCTTGGCCTTTGGCTATACAAGACAACATTACGGGTGTCCGTAGGGGAGACTTAACAAGGAGGCTATTTGAATACAAAACAGCTTGCGGCGGAGGGTGAGAACTTTCCATCTCTCCTCGCCGAGTGGTCAGAACAGGAGTCCCTCCGGCGAAAGGAGGCGGAGACGCGTTACAACCCGCCCAGCAGCCCCCCCCCCCCCTCCCCCCCCGAGGAGAAAAACCAGCACATTAAGCCGGGGAGAGAAATGATGTGGCCAAGTCGAGACTACGGGAGTTCAGTGTGAGGAGGAGGGGAGATAGGGAGGGGGAGGGGGGGTAGCGGGCTCACGCTGTTGCCTGAATCTATCTCCATTAGCAAGTAGGGACCATCAGAGGATGCACACACACACACACACACACACACACACACACACACACTCTCTCTAGTGGGGGGGGCTCAAGGGCTGACTGATGCAGATGTTGTGTTTCATCAGACAATGTCAAGCTTTCCAGACAAGATCCACCATCGCAGTACGGCATTCAAATGTTTTCATCCGTCCTCCCTGAGTACTGCAGGGATGCCTTAATTCTCAACATGTGCACGCCAGTCGGGGCAAATCCAAATGTATGCCCGCTCAGAGAGCAGGGGCAATTAAATAACCAGCGCATGGCTAATGCTATTCCTTTGGTGGCTTGTGAGAGTTTGCCTCATCCAGAAGCTTTAAAAGACAAAAATTCTAAAAATCCGAGTTGCATTCACTGGGAGTTTGCCGTTGGCCTGGGAGAGCAGTGTTGCTCTGCTCCATCTCAAAAGTGTCCTCGCCATGCATTTCAAAACGTGATTACCCACATGTAGTTCTAGCTCAGTACTTCTGTAATAACTAGACCTAATATTGTATTGGAAATTCTTTCCACAGGGACAAAGCGTATAAGAAGGCCTCATGCACAGTCCACCGCCACCCTGCTTTCTTAATTAAGGCCCTTTGTTTTTATTTGGGCTGCTTTGCTACGGGCCTGGATTAAATTGGATTCTAAATGATCCAGAACCGATAGAGCAATCTTTACTGCCATATTCTTAGACGGAGGGCTCACTTAACTGTCACAAATACGGTGGCAGTTGGGTAATTTTCTGCTGTGACACGGCGAGCGATGATGAGGGCCCAGGTTTCCCCCAGAGGGATTGTGGGAAGATTGGAGGAGGGCATATGGCAAGAATGGGATGGGGCGTGCACCATGGAGCACACCATTTATAGGCGAAAGCCCCTTGAGACACAAAAGAGAGGAGCAGAGGAAAATGAGATGCTCTTCACTTCACTCCCTATTCTTCTCGCTTTTCTGGGGGCCATTTACAAGAGCAGTGCTCACGAAATGGCCAAGCAGTGAAGTCACACACCTAAAAGCCACGCAATATCACCACGTAGACCCCCAGGATACAGTATAATAGCCGGGAGAGAAAGATTTAACTGCAGTATGTTCAGTTTCCGTGTCGTGAACGTTAAGAAGCGGGATAAAAAGACAAGGGCGCGTTATACTGTCAGCGGGAAAGCGAGGGAGACTGGAGGTCTCAGGGAGCAAACGAGGGACTGAGGGTACACACGGGCAGGGAGGGGGGGGGGGGGGGGGGGGGGGCTGTCAGGCTCACATGGGGGAATGTTGCTCAGCAGGAGAAATGATTTCCCTTTCTACACAAACGGCACCGCAGGGGGTTGTACACAGTTTCACTGCGTGTACGCCTCCGATTTAAACACACTTCCGCCTCCCACCTCTTCTCCCCCCCCCCTCCTCCCCCTCCTCCCCCCGCTCTCCCGAACCATCTTCCCTCCTGCGCGCTTCCTGTACGACATGCTGCAGGGCACTGGGAGAAAGGGAGGCAGCCAGAAAAGCCTGATAACCGGAGGAAGCGGTCACATCTGGCCCTCGCTAATTCAATTCCACACAAGTTTGCTTTTCCTCCCCATAACATAACCTAATTAAAAATAAATACGTTTTAAAAAAGCAGGGTTTGGAGGCACATTCATTTCCAATTCATCAACGGGGAGAGAGAGGCGGACGATGACCGAAAAAGGTTGGGTCTTTTTTAATTAAAATCAAAATTGCTCCACACCACTTTGAATTATATATTTACTGGAAATGAAACCAACTGGCAGTGATTACACAAGCCCATATGGCTATCAATACCTCGCATTATTGGACACACTCAGAGTATTAGACACGCTCCTCACCTCTTGCATTTACAAGTTTCCGTGCCCCAAAGACACAGGTGGGACAGGAGTTTTTACTTTTCAACCTCTCAAACTTCAAGATATCCTCCGTTTTCTGCCGAACATTCTGATATGCAAGTAAGGCCTTATTTTCAATTATTAACACCGTGACAAGCTAAGAAAACCATTTCCAGTGGAGGACAATTAAAAGGAAATGGAAATATAGACTGCAGGTGTCTTATCCGTTATTTTTGTGGCTTTGGTCTCCTTTCCCTTGGCGTTGAGAATAGAAACTTCACTTTTTGGACCGCGGAGTCGAGTCTATAGTCTTTACTCTCCTCATCTGGACCTTTAGGGTTCACACGCACCCGGAGGTAGGGAAACAAAGACATGTACGGATCACAGGGATGAAGCTAAAAGGTGAAGTGATGCTTTGATCCCTGGAATCTTTTTATTTTATTTTATGTTTGTAGCAATAATAGTTTGCTTCTATCAGTAATGGCGCTCTGGCTTGACGCTGTGAAGAATGAAATTGTGCTGTCCTCTGCCTCACAATCACATCTATTGATTTCATCCACAACCCTTCACTTGTGGCAAAGTGATGGTTTGATTGGTATTGATTCTGCAATGCACACTGCTGTTTATAGCATGAAACCATGTGAGATAATCGTTAGAGCTGCTTAAGTGAAGTGGGAGGACAGCACTGTTATGCTGCTGAAACAGAGTTGAAACCTGGAGGATCAAACCGTCTAAGCCTTTTGGAACAAAACACAGCAACATGGTTAAGTATCAAACTGGGGATGAGATAGTTAAGTTTGATCCCTCGTTTAAGTCTTTTCAGTGTTGTTATATTTATATCTTGTGCTCGCTCTCTTGGCGGCGGGCCTAAAGGTGTGACGCTGACCTGCGGTACACCCCGGATCTCATTTCTCTAACAAGCGCCCGTGAGACCATCGCGGCAATAAGCAGTGATGCTACCGACAGTGAGCTATGATACAGATGACAGTTAAAAGGGGAAAAAAGCAAGAGGATTGTCTCTGGGTTAGGCTCTTACAGGAATGTCCAAAAGCAGCTACGGCTTGGGTTTTCTCTAAAAAAGGGCCCATTTATTTTGGCATTTAAGCAGGTGGCTTACCAAGGCCACCTCCACCCCAGGCTACGGTCATTACTTTCAGGTACCAGCCATGTTTTTGTGGGAGATACAGACCCTCCGGAAGCTCTTCCGGCGACGTGACACAATGTCATTTTGTTTCACTGCTCACTATAATACAAATCTGTCTCTCCTACTGTATTCCTGATAAAACGGGGACGCAGTTTATGTAAATCTGTTGTCAAAAGTAGAAGCTCACATTCACTCAGCCTTCAACTCGTCAGTCCGTTGGAGACTTTCTCAGATCAGGTGGATCTTGTCTACTTCTGAGTAGTTCCCACTTTAAATGGGAACTGCTCCCCTTCCACGTTCCCACTGCAATCCCTTCCAAAACATTTGAATATTTGAAGATGATGCCAGACTAAATTCAACCATGGGAAAGTGCTACAAATATTAATATTCCAAACACATGTGTAAGTAAACATCATTGGAAATACAGGCCAGATGAAGACACACTCGACGCCCCCTGAGGCGGGCGAGTGGGTGCTTAAATCTCTTGACAACAACGTCGTCCCCCTCAGAGAGGTAATAATTGGATAACACTTAGAGCAGTCTCACAATCTGATAGCTGCGATGAGCAGCCTTCAGCAACCGTTTGAGTTTGTCGTTGGCTCCAAATGAGAAAGTGCTGCTTTTGATGACCCCCCCCCCCCCCCTACACCTCGCGACAGAAGCTGAAGTTGTTGATGGTCCACGTGTAGGAGAACTTCACCACTTTGATCTGAAGCAAAAAAGAAACAGAAAGAGCTGAAAGCGGATCTATTTCTTTATATATTTATCCATTCCACGTGGGTAAGTGGTGCTTGGTCAGCCTGGACTTCAAAACCGCACATCAAAACTGGCTTTCATCTTAATAAACACTGACAACAAACAGAGTGAAAGAAGAAAGGATATTGTAAGAGCAGCAACAATAAAGAAGAAAGAAAAGAAAAGATTTTGAAGGAGGGGATAAAAAAAAAAAAAACATACTGGATTGGTCTTGGTCTCTTAACAGAAAAGCAACGTCTGAACTAACAAAGGCTGCACTGCAACGACTGAAACAAACACACATTTAAACACATTTTCCAGGGAAACAATGTAGGCGTATAATATTAAGTCAGCAAAAACAAAGTTACTGGATACAACCCTGACAATGCTCATTCCATTCAACTGCTGATTGAGCAACTTTACAAAATACGAACGCTTTAAGGATTATACACATATTTAAAGGGTCCTTCTTCTGCCTTGATAGACAGGCTTACTTTCATAAGTAACACCCACATTATGCATAGATGACCAGCATGTGTGTGCTAACGGCGAGCCAGAGGGCGATAATATACTCGGGGAAACAACACCTGCCGTGAATCCAGAGCAACGGGACTTCCAGACTACGGGCAATTGCTACTGTTGGGACGCAAAAACACAGTCACGAAAATGGCTCTAAACTAGCGAGGCACATTTCGGGTGGACGTCTGTGTTTGAGCATGCCAAAGCGTTTGCTAATTGAATGGATAGTCTAATCGAGCAATATTTCCCAGTGAGTGGGACATGAGAGGTCTGAATTCATTTGGGTTAAAGGAGGCTTCAGCATTGGAAGCACGCGGCGGCGGCTCGAGCTCCGCTTCCCCGGGGGGGGGGCTTCCTTCATCAATTGGCTCCAGCCAGGCTGCGCTCGTCCGGCGTGTGGCCCCCCCCTCGAGTGAAGTGCAGGACTCTCATCCGGAGCTGCCAGAGCGCACTCACACAAACGCGTAAAACACAAGGTCACGGGAGACTTCCAGAGGTCAGCAATGGCGCCCGAAATCTTAGCGTTGTTTGTAAAGAATGGAAAGGATAGGAGAAAATAAGGATTGGTTATTATTTATGAGATTTACACTGCGATTGTCACATTGAAATTGGCGTTAAGGGAAGTTCCGCATTATTTTCTAATTTTAGGTCCTTTGGTGCACCGGCTGCCTCATGGGATCAAACAATCTTGTTGGAAAATAAAAAGGACAGTTTGGTTCCAAAGCTTCACTTCTCTGCTGCCTAAATCTCCAATTTCCGCTCCTCTCGAGTTCCTCTACAAGTCGACGGATCTGGCTTTTTACCCCTGAACCTGTGCGTCCCCCCCTCCCTCACAATCTCCTGTCAAAGAGACCCGTACACGCTGCTGCTGCTGCTTAATTAGAGGCTGATTGAAAGCAGTTCGGGACCTGAGGAAGCTTAGCAGAAAGGGACATCAGCCGAGAGACAGAGCGAGAAACGAGAGAAGTGTGGGACAGACTTCTGTCTCTGCGAGTGCTTTTTACGACGGGAGAGGCGACCGCGACGGCTTCACTCTCAGACGCGACTTAATTAATGCTCAGAGATAACGCCTGCATCTTATCTTCCCTCGATCCAGTGCACCCCCCCTCCCCGGCCCCCGTTTTATTCTTTTGTGCAATTTGTATCTGATGAAAAACACTGGTGGCATTTTCGCTCAGTAAAACAATAAAATATTAATCACAAAAGTTGGGAGAACAAGGCTGCACTGATTTGCAATTTAAATTACCTGAGACTTCCTGGCAATTAATTATAGTCCACATGAGTGAGTGAGGGCATACACGGGTTCTCGCATGCGTTTATGCACGCGCGGCTCCATTTTTGCATTTCCGCAATAAATCTGAAGCACAATTTACCAAGTGTTTTTTTTGTATTCACGTCCCTTAAAGAGCTAAATGAATGGCAAGTAATCACAGAGAATCAATTTAAGGCAACACGACGACAGCGGCAGCTCTTCCTAAGTAGACACCGATGACAAAGCAACGATGGGTTTGTTTGTTTTTTTCATCTTTTTGCGACAAACATCAAGAGCAGAGCGGCAGGAGGAGACTCCGAGATGGAGATGTGCGCTAATCGCAGGACTCCCTCTGAAGAAATGCCTTCAGACAGTTCATTTGTCGTGGGAATCCGATGATGACAGCGAGAATGGGAAGAATGACTAATAGGTTCTAATGCACGTAGCATAGAGAAAACAAATATTGTCACATTACAGTGTGTGGCGGGAAGAGATTCACAAAGAAGGCCTTCCACTAATGACAATAACCAATGTGAATGAGGTGCTGCGCTTCACATCAGGGAGTTCTTGTTGCTGCTACTTTGGCTCCATTGGCACCTTGTGGGCCCGATAAAAAGCAGTGGAAATAAGGGAGAGGGTGCTCAGAGAGAGGGCTGCAGGAAGAGAGCAAACTAGTCCAGCTTCAGCATGTACATCTGAATCTTTTCTCCGAGAATCAAACGGAGACGGAAAAAGATTTTAAAAATAATAGCCAACTAAAAGGGAGCTTACCACACGTGCATAGAAAAGGGCCTGCAGTGAACACCGGGGAGGTTTGTGCTGTTCGGTTCCTGCTGGGATTAAACACCTCCGTTTCAGAGGGCTGAGTGGTACTATGGCAGACGGCGTATGTTCATTCAGTGTAAATGAGAAATTGGACATCATGAGCATCACAAAGACAGCATTAAGTATAGGACCTTTTTATTTAAAGCTTCAATTGAGCTTTTTCAATAACGCTTCAAATGTCAGTCATGAAAGGAATATGTGACTATACTAAAACAGTAAATACAGAGTTCAGTATATGATGGTAGAAATACTTAATACGAGCTTTTGGACCGCAGTGAAAAAGTTGTTCTTGAGTGGATTAAAGATCAGCAGTTTGCATTAAAAACACTTTTTCAATTTTGGAAATGATTTTGTCCCTTTTTTATTAAAATCAAACTTTTGACCACAAGACGGAAACAATCAGAAGCTATTGTTGCACGTATTTATAGTCATTGCATATGTGTTTATTTATTATTGTGTTGGAAGTTATACAAACTTGTGATTAACACATGAGGTCGGGCGGAATATCAGGATCATTTTTTGACACGATTTATCTGTTTCATGAGCTGTGTACATGCATCATCAATATAAAAAAGTATATAACAGAAAAAAACACTTCAGAAGATGGAACAACAGCATTTTTGTCAGTCAAATGACTTGTTATCGCAGTTCTTGCAGATTAATTTGCTGCTGATGCAGTGGAGCGATTATCTACTAATTGTAAACAGTCCCAGTATAACAAATGTGTATTTTGAATATTCAAGAGATTGTGTCACCTTCGATCACACAGATCAAACAAAAACATCTTCACATCATTTTTCATTGAGAACAGAAAACTGGTTTTCAAACACACCGCTCCTTTGACGAAGTTCCATAAAATGAAAACTATTCGCTTAGACTGTCAGTGTTTGTGTGTGTTCCGTTCGTACAATGCAGGTAAGGAGGGAGTGCTGGCCAGCTCCACCCCACGTCCTCGTCCCATACCGGTTTCCAGGGAGGGGAGCCAGAGGAGGAGCGTGAGACCTGGAGCCTATTTATATTCATTACAGAAAGACTGTCGGCTCTCCCTCTGCCAGTCCAGCCGCCATCTCTCTCCATCTCCCTCCATCTCCCTCCATCTCTCTCTTTCTCTCTCCATCTCCCTCATTCTCTCTCCATCTACCTCTTTCTCTCTCCTTCTCTCTCCATCGCTCTCCATCTCTCCGTCGCCCACCCCAACACACCAGGGAGGAGAGTCTGACAAACGAACAGACAGATACATTCAACTTCCTGTGTACAAACAAGAGCCGAGCGAGGATGGTGCCGCCCGCATCAGCCTCCCTCGTCCGCATGAGAGCCGGAGCTCGCCGACGGCCCGTTGCAGCCACACGACGCGCATTAATAAAGCTTGCGCTGTGATATTAACTCTTGTCTGTAAATTATGCGCAGTGATGGCATATATTTCTGGGCATATGTTACCTCCATCTGCAAATTTGATAATGTGAACAGCTTACAATGCATATTTACACTGGAGGACACATTTCCGTTCATTTGTCTCTCCATCTGTGCTCGTTATAATCTGAATAGGTGGCGAATGCAAATGTCTGCACATCCGCGCAAACCTGGGAGTCTTACTCTATTTTTAATACAGTCGACTTTAATTATTAATTCTAATCGCAGAAACCGTTCAACAGTTTCATTTTAACACCGATTCCTCTTTATGTAACAATCAGAGAAGATTTGCTATTTGTGGTTTATTCCAGATGCTCGTCATAAATGCAGCTTCCCTCAGAAACTGCGGCAACCGCTGCCCACAGCTGGCAGAACCGAGTCCGGCTTCGGTGCCTCCTCCCGGATGAGAGCGGTCAGACTTTGCTTCATTAGAATTAGAACTTTTCTAAGTGGATTGTAGTGCTCGGAAACACGACCACCTTCCTCCACAGAGACGAACAATATCGACATGAAATTGCAGTTATTGTATTAAGTTCTGTTGGGCAGCGTCTGAATTTCCCCTTTGGGATCCATTAAGTCTCAACCTATAATTGCATCATCACGTATTTCTTTAATATGATTATAGTGTTGATATGAATCTCCGCTGTAAGTCATCAGTGTAGTGGAGATACAACTTTCATTCTGTCTGAGGAGTTTTGTTTACGCATTTGGTGTTAATTAAATGATTCACATAATGGCTTTTACTGATTGAGTGATACTTGGTATTCTTCTTGTTTTTGAAAAAAATTGGAACAAATATCCGCATTTTCTTTTTGTTGTTGTACTTGTCGCTGTTGCTTTTTACATGGACTTGTGTGTCTGGAATATATAAAGGTACTAGAAAAGTAAAAATATTGGAAAAGTGTACTTACGCCCAACACATTACATTTTATAGTTTAATCAGTACATTTACATGAACCAGCGCCTTCATCCCGAAAAACTCCCAGCGTGTGGCCATGCGGGGAGTGACATCCGGTGACCTGCTGTGAAATTGGGAGGTGAAGAGTGACGGAGACGGGGGCGATTTCAGCAATTCACAACATAAGACATAAAAAGATGAAATACGCACTTTACACCCTACATGCAAGCACTTGCGCAAATAGACATGTCACCATTTAAATTCCTTTTAACTCGCAGAGTTAAAAAGACACAAATACAGGCACCTTCCCACCAGCACTCTCCCCCAGGGGGCTGCTTCCCGCTGGGGGAGAGCAGAAAGCGGCAGGCAGCGCGCAGAGACGCCACCACCAGGTGGACAGGGGGTGGAGCTGTGTGATTTTTGGAAGGGATCCCAGCGGGGGGGGCCCGGAGTGTTTAGAGGGTCACCTTGTGCGACAACAGGCAGCGAGCGAAACAGCGAGGCGCAGAGGCGGGCAGACTACAAAGACCAGGAGACCGTGCCAGAAAGCCGAGGCTGAGTGTGGCAGCCTTGAGCGTATGTGTGACGCATTTCTAAAGGGCGAATCACAACGGCCACATGCTACCTCACTTTTCAAGTTAGAGTCAATCCTGGAAAAGCAAAAAGAAACCCACTAAATCTGTTCTTTTTTCCTCCAGCTTGTGAGAATTCTGACAGCGGGTTAGTGAAGCCTGTTCGTTCTAAGGTCAGATAGCATTACAAGTTGTAGAGAAATGGTGTGCAGCCGCATCCGGGGGATCAGCAAGACTGATCAAGTGTAGCGGACTCTCATTTAAAAATCATACACAGCTGGCTGGAGGCACACACACACACACACACACACACACACACAGGGGCCATGTGACAGAAGCGATTCCAACTCTCAGTTATGTGAGATTGGGGAGTTCTGGCAGTCGACGTGAGAGAGGAGAGCAGC